AGGAAAGTTGGAGGCTCAAGCCATGAGTATTTTCACATTACCATCATCGGTGATGCCTTTAAGATGCAGCCAGAATGACTGAAAGCCATGGAGCACAGCCCAGGATCAGTTCCTGCCCCAGCTGCCCACATGAGGTGATGATGGTGGTGTTGAGGCAGCTACGGTAATGGCACACAGCCCATGCAGTTCATCACCACGGGAGCCCCAGAGACCAAGGACGGAGCCAGAGCTTTAAAGAGGTGAAGAGCGCTGCGGCTAATTACGATTACACACCTCCTGGAGGCTTCAAAGGACTCTGGAAGCCCCAGGAAATGGGCACCTGAAGAACGTGGGGAAATATCAGTCTGAATCCCAACGCTGCAGCAAGGCAAAGCAATCCATAGGATTTTGATCTCCATATACAGCTCTTTCTTGCTTCCAGGAGCTGCTGCTCTGCCGTTCTGGCTACAACTCAAAGGCAGCAGCGAACATCAGAGCTCTCACGTGCACCTCCAGGCAGAGCTCGGTTTTGGGAGGTGTCTGTGAGCAGCAGAGCTCCCCCTCCATGGCTTCTCGCTGCGATCAAACCCAATTTCAGTCCTGGTGCTGATAACGCTATCGCGCATCTCCACTGAGCAGCGTGCGGGGATGGAGGTCCCTGAGGAAGCCTGGAGGTCAGCGCTGTACAAAGACAGCGGATTTGATGCTGGCAGGGGTGCAGCAGTGTTTGCCTGGTACAGGGCACCTGGGCAGCACAGCATCGCGCTGGTGAGATGCCACTGTCCCCAACCCAGGGGTGACCTGGGCAGCACCAGCTTTCAGGACCTCTCTGGGGTGCACAGGCTGTCACACAGCCCTCATTCTTATGGAGCAAGTTGCAAACCTTAGCCTGGACAATTTGGCAGAGGAACTTCTCCCTCCTGCCCAGTAGCATCCCAAGCGCAGCGCTGAGGAGCAGCAACAGGGAAGAGATTGGCTTCTTGTATGCGCTATGTATTGACCATCATCAGGGCAGAGATGATGGGGACAGGCGCTGGATCCAAGCAGCAAGCCCCAAGAGAAGGAGATGGGCTGTCTGCCACCAGCAAGGACACACAAACCAAAAGCATCATCCCTACATGTTCCTATTTTCAGGGAAACAAAGTTAATTCCTGCAAACCCAGAAAAGAAAATCAGCTGTGCCACAAACGGAAAAGCAAGGTGACAACTTCTGTGTAGGTGAGAGGCAGAGGAGCATCCCTTACCAATGCAGCTGGGCTGGGTCCCGCTCCAGGTCCCGTCAGACTGGCAGAACCTCCGGGCCGACCCCACCAGCACCAGCGGGGCCAGGCAGGAGAAGGAGACGGACGAGCGGTAGGTGAAGCCCCTGTCCTCCCGCCGGCCCTGCGCGGGAATGCCGGGGTCTCCGCAGAACACGGCTGCAAGGGCAGAGGCAGGGATTGCGATGAACAGAACAGGCAGCGTTAGCAAGCTCAAGATGGGTCTGTTAACATCCCGAACCTCATCGCTCCCTGCCATCAAACTCCGTGACTGACTGGGGAATTTGCAGTGGCAGAAGGCGTCGCTGGCGACTTCCCTCCTAATTCTCCCTTTTTGTCATTTGCTGTTCATTAACTTCCACCTTCTCCCCCATCTTTTCTTATTTCCCCACCCTGACAGCATGCTTAACTTTAAAACGCATCCCTAATTGCACGATGGCAAATTGCTGTATGGTCCCATGTCACGCAGAAAGCCCACTCATTACACAAGATCCAGGGAGAGGTGCAAGGAACACAGCAAGGGCTTTGTACAGCTTAATATGAAAATGGCCATCGTGAGCTGCCAGCCATTCAGCCAAGGGAAAAAAAACCTCAAATCCGCCTTTATCATTCTGAGACATTTAACTCATTTTTATTGCATGAGCTATTGTGTCAAGCACACAGGTTTCCACCCAGCCAAAGCTCTGCCTTCACACAACAGTCCCACCTTCTGCTGCAACTCCACAGTGCCCTTTGCAAAGGGTTTTTTCCCTATGGAAAGGGAACTAAAGAGCCCTGACTGCAAAGACTTGGTCATGGGGAGACACACGGACAAACAGCCCATTTTAATGAAGCCTGCTGGATCTTCAGACCTGTGGCAAACGTGACCTTACATCTCCGTTACAAGAGGTGGAGCGATGGACTGCGTCCCCATGGCCTCAAAACAGAGGTGGCAAACCAAGGCTTCTGTTGGAGAACACGCAGATTTTTGGCTGTGGGCACTTGAAGCATCCTCATGCTTTTCTCCTGGCACAGACAACTCCCTCTGACTCCAGTCAATGCAAAGCTTCCCTTGGGATTAGGGATAGGAGCAGAACAACCAGACATTTAACTTCCTGCATCCTGAGAACGGGCGATCAGTGCCCTCTATGACATTGCCAGGCAGGGTTGACACTAAAACCAGCTACGTGGAGATGCTGGTGAGCACCAAACGACCGGGTTTGAAGCAGAGCCCTCCCGGTTCCCGCCGCCCACTCACGGAAGCACTGAGGGATGTCCCCGCTCCAGGTGCCGTTGCCCTCGCAGGTCAGCACGGCGGGCAGGGACAGCTGGTAGCCCTCCAGGCAGGCGTAGCTGACGCTGGAGCCCCAGCTGAAGTCGGAGCCCACGACTTTCCCGTTGGGGACGGCTTGCGGGGCTTTGCAGATGATAGCTGGGCGAGAAACAAAAGCACACACAGCTCTGTCGGCTTCCCAGCACGGTTATTTCCATTAGCAAGCAAATTCGTGGAGGATCAAAGTGGCATCCTGCTCTCACAGAGCACCTCCTGGGACTGCCCCAGCAGGGGCTGCACCGGCTTCTCCAGCTGTAGATGCAGTTGTAAACCCCAGGGTTTTCCTTTGAAGTTTGGAGTTACCCACATCCCACATCTCCAAGTCAGATTTCTGAGCCGGTGTTCAGTTCCAACTGAAGGTAAGAACCCAGCCCGACTTAGCGCGAAAACTCAGCTAAGATGCCCTGAAAGATTCATACATTTTGGACAACCTGGCTGAGTTTCAGATTAGCAGCTGAATCAACCAGCAGTCTGTGTCTCATCCACTCCAGGGTGTTTTAAGATGACATTTTTGCAACGCTTTGCTTTTCAGCTCAGGGGAGCACTGGGGAAGATGCTAAGCCCATGCAAATCAGCCTGGCCTCCAAAATGAGACCCTGGCCACATTCTGTATTATTCCTGCAACATCAGCTCAGTGGCGGGGATGAGAGAGGAGGGTGAGAATTGCTCTTTACAGCCTCCGAAGGAGCTGGAGTGTATTTGGAAGTTTCTATGCGGTCTGCATTTATATCAGAACCATGACAAGAGAATTTTTCCAGATTGCTAAAGAAGTACACAGATGCTGCTACAAGCCTTATCTGCGCTTGGTGGGCGAGTAAAACACTCGCAGGAGAGATCCAGCCTGTCCTGCTACTGCTCCATTATTTCCCTTTTCTGTCTCTGAACTACAGAGGCAATCTCAGAGCCGAGAAATAATGGAAGGAGTTGGAAGAAACATTTTTCAGGCTTCTAGATGATGCCAAAAAGCGTGTGCTTGCAAAACACAATATTTCATCTGAGTTTGATCTGGGTTTTTTGTGAAGAGTAAGTCACTTAACTCTGTGCTTCACTCGTCCTTCTCTACGACAGGGATAATAGCAATTGCCTCCCTCCCTGGCATATGGTGATGATTGATGGGCCTAAAGATAGCAAGGCGTTCATGCTACGTTGATAAAATTGCCTAATAAAGCGCCATAAACACCGGGGACAGATTGAATGATAGGATCCAGAGACTCCCAGGGGAGTTTCTCAGCGGCTGCTGCCTATCACCCGGTCACGAGTTACAGAAAGTTTGTGGTCTGTACAACTTGCACCCTCTGATATTGAAAACAAGCGGTCCTACCCTTGCAGGCGGGTTTGGTGCCGTTCCAGGTGCGGTCTTTGGTGCAGGTGAGGGAAGATGCTCGGTCTGACTCCATCATGTACCCCGGCATGCACTGGAACGTCACCGTCCTGTTGTAGGTGAAGTCGCTGCCCAGGCGGATGCCGTTGGCGGGCACACCGGGGTCACCGCAGTTGATCACTGCCAAAGAAAGAAAGAAAGAAGAACTCCAGTAACTGGAAACCTGGTGGTCCTGAGCTGTTTGCAATGCAGGGTGTAACCCGCTCATCGTGGAGCATTGGCAGAGCAGCGCTGGCGATGGAGCATGTGGAGGAAACTTTGCTTCCACTCAGTGGAGCGAGCAGCAGACTTAATGGTACATTAAAGCCTTGCAAGAAGTATTAACACACATTAAACATTGAAGAAGACCTGGGTCAAATCTGGGCTAGCTGGAAGATGGCTCGCCCATGGCACCCCTCCTCTCCTTACCCCAGTTACTGGCTCTTATGTAAAGCCACGTTTGGCCTCACCCGTGCTCCTGGCGCGGGCACCCATGGGTGGGAGCTGAGGAAACACAACACATCCACTGCTGAGCAGGGGCTGTGCCCGCACATGGCCCTGGTGACTGCATGCAGGGATGCTCACGTTCGGATGCAGCCCCTGAAAGCCCCTCCGGGTCGGCTGCCACCGATTCATGGGAGTCATCACAGCGCTGCCTCCATCCAACCGGAAAAGAACAAACCCAAAGCAAGAGTTTTCCATTAGGTGCCGCTCGACGGTTTAGCTGAGTTTCTCAGCACAGCACATGTGTGTGTGCACATCCAACACGTCCTGACAACGCGTCCCCGGAGCCTGGCAGCATCGCTCACCTCAGCTTCCAGGAATCCATCCCAGTGCTCACCTGTGCACTCCGGGCTGGTTCCAGTCCACGTCCCGTTCACCGTGCAGTGCCTGCTCAGCACCCCTGTGGAGTAATAGCCTTCCCGGCACTGATAGATGATGGAACTGGAGAAAATCAAGCCGTCGTTAAATATAACCCTCGCGTTGCTGGGGGTTCCTGGGTTTCCACAGGATATAACTAGAAAAAAAAAAGATAAAGTTAAAAAAAAACCCAAAACCTAACCACAAATAATGCTCCCAAAACAAAAAAAAACAACCCAAGGCTTTCATCCTGCAATTGACTGTTCTCAATAAAAGTAAGATTAGCTGCAGAGCCCCAGGATCAGCTCAGACACAACAGGGCTCTTCCGTGGAAAATCAGCTACATCAATCCAGCAGCATCCCAACCACGGAGTCCCCAACGCGCAGCCCCACTCCTTTCCAGGGGCATCCTCCAGGTCCCCACCACAGCCAAGCCTGGGAGCAGCCTCCTCCAGCCTGGAGGAAGAACCTGTGTCTGCTTGGAGAGGTTTTATCCCAGCTCCTGGTCTCACATCTGGTTCTGCAGCTCCATAAAGCAGGTGAGTCCCTCCACCTTCCAGGATTTTGGGAGCCTGGACCTGAGCTTTGCCTCTGTTCCCTTTGGGAAGCCGAAAACTTGGGGACAGCAGCAAGGGAGCCCGCTGCTCCCCCAAGTGCTGCATCGCCCAGCTCTACCCAGTTACGCTTCCAGAGGAGGGGGAATATTGTGGGAACACAATTATAGGCTTGTCAGTGCCCAAGTTTTATGTCTAATGCAGCTCAGCACCACGACAATAAAAGGGCAGCAGAGTGAATGGTGGCGCACGAAGCCCTGTCATGACAAAATAAGCACCTGCAATAATTGCATCCAGCCCTCATTTACTCTGAAATTACAGGACAGAAAAGAAAATCACATGAATCAAGCAAAGGCTTAAACCACATGCTCCCAGCTCTTTGACAAGGAATTTCTTTGCTCCCAACCCCTCCCCAGCAAAGTGCCACCACCTCTGCAAGAGCACCCGTCTGTGTGCGCACATGGTGACCTGGCCCTGGGACATGTCCCCAGCACACAAACACATATATACACACAAACACACACACACACACACACACACACACACACACACACCATTTCCAGCCCTTCCTCCATGGGGAAACACAACCTCAGCCCCAACAGGAAAGCGATGCTCAGAGGCCATCGATGCACAGAGACGCCTTCCTCTGCTGTGTTGCTTGCCTTGCTGACAGCCTGTTAACATCTGAGCGTGTTGGAGATGCATCTGTCTGACAGGAGGAATCCAATAACCGCTCCGGACTGTGTGCACAGAAACCCTGCGTGGCGCTAAAACCATCCGAGGTGCGTGCTCATTACAGATTTCTCACGCAGCCACCGTCTCGCTGATACGCGGTGTCATTTCCAAGAGATGCTGGGATAAAAGTCAGATCCTATCAACTCAGAGAAAGCTCTAAATTACTATTTCACTGCCTGCCCATGCATCAGCCGCTCTCTCCTGCCAACCTCCTCCACCTATGCATGTGGCCAAACACACACAGCTGACCCCAAAATACGACTTTTGCGACTGCAAGGAGACTCGTGGAAAGGGTTTAATCGCAGCGTGCGTCAGCTGTGACCTGTATTGGCTGGGTAGAAAAGAAGCCATAAAGGTAAGGATGAAAGGTTTGAGCTTTTAAAATCGTAATTCAAATACAAACAGGATGTAATGATGCAAGTGAGCAGTAGGGGGGTAAATAAGTCTCTTCGGCCTCAGTGGGAGATGTAAAATACATCAGGCCCCAACAGGAAATGGGTTTTGGCATTGGTTTTTTGAACAGGGACTCTGGAAGTCCCACAGTCATACCCACTGACACCTCCCTAAGGATCTCAAACCAAATCACCTTTAAATTGAAGGAAAAATTCAAGAAAACAACCTGAAAATCAGCTGGTTTCTTATGGTTGCTGCTTCTTTACCAGGGCGACACTTCAGGAGATGATGCTCAGCTGCAACGACTGATAGGACAAGGATGGTTTGACTCTGCTGCTACTGAAACACCTCAAACCTCCCTGGGACCTACAGGGTGCTGTAGATCCCCCCATCCTGCGTTTGTTCCTTTATCAAAGTAAATTCTATTCCTATAGTTATTTTTATGAAGTCTGTTTTGAGCAAACCCCGTGGAAAAGCAAAGCACCTTTAGCTCCATCCCCACCGTGTACTCTGAAGCCCACTCGCAGCACAAGCAGCTCCGGGCCAAGCAGTGCATGGGGGGAGCTGATCGCTCCCCACGATCCCGTCCTTGCTGGGGGGAACTGGGAAGCTTCTGCGCGCTACAAAGTGGCCTCTGCTGTATAAAACATCACAACGCTCAGAGGTGCTCCACAGCTCGGCAATAATTCATTCGGCTCCAATCCGCACGTCCTTTTTCTGAGAAGCTGATTGAGATTCCCCCCTTGCCTTCCTTTGCTTTTTCCTACGTGTTTTACAGCGAGAAGCTGCTGGGAGAAGGGAATTTCTCTGGGTCCCGTTCGGGCACTCAGCTCAGAGCTGGTGCAGCTGCACACAGCGATGCTCAGAGTGTGGTCAGATGAGGCACTGAGCACCAAAAATTTCTGTACTGAAAGACTGGTCAAGAACTGGAAAGGGGCTGCCCAGGGCAGTGGTGGAGCCACCATCTCAGAGGAGTCCAAAACCATGGGGTTGTGGCATTTCAGGACATGGTGGGGTTGGGTTATGGTTGGACTTGATGATCTTAGAGGTCTTCCCCGACCTTAATGATTCAATGATGAGGGCTCTCAGTGCCCGTCTGACTGTGACAACGACGAGCCCGCTCCTGCACCGCTCCTTGGTGAACAGAGATCAGGAAGGAAGAGGAAAAAGGTAAAAAGCACCTAAAATTTCATGTATGCTTTAAAACCTTGCTGGAAATTAAAGCTAAATGAGGCCTGAAATCTGTCATTGTAGAAAGCCAGGGAAGTTGCTCTACTGGGCTCACCAAAACCAGACTGACGCAGGAGTCTCAGAAGGGGTCCTGGCAATTAATTTTTGTACATTTTGGAAAAATCCCTTGTGACTTCTTCTTCCTGCCTCCCTATTCCTTTGGTTTTCTCAAAACATGTCCTCGTGGTTAAAAGGTATCAGGATTAGGAGCTGATGAGGTTGAAGGTCCCCCCTCTGTGCCGCACACAGCCCCTCCGTGGGTCACAGCCGCATTGGTCCTGGTGCGGGCAGACACCAAACATCAGCCCCTTGGCTTCAATGCCAAGCAGATGCTTTGTAATTGAACCTACGATGGCAGCTTGCTCTGAAACAGAGATAACAGCAGCTCCCTCCTTCCCTTCTGCTGATGCTGTAAGATTTGCACCGTGTCCTCTGCACGTCCAGCACTTACAAGTTCCTCTGCAGCGGGTTCCCACCTCCTGCTGAGCGGCCCCAGCCCCTCTGTGCTCATCCATCAGCTAATCCAGAGAGCAATTTGCATCAAACTCCGCAGGCAGGCGAGCGCCGCTGACCCGTGACGCTCCATCAGCCTTGATTGTGCTCAATTTTGGTGCCTGAGAGCGGCGAACAAGTGGCTGAGTCACAGAGTTAATGCACCGCCGAGGCACCGGGCGGCTCCGCGCCAGCGCCGGAGCTTTTCCACATGGGCAGAGATGCCCCTTGCACCCCAGCACCTGCCAGGGTGCTCGTTTGCCCTGAATTCAACCCCCAAATTAATCTCTTTTTCTCCTTTAAATGCCTGTTCCAGAAAGTTGGCTGTAACAGGCAAAGTGCAGTCAGGAGAACACCTTGTAGGGCTTGCGAGTCGCTGTGAATACCAACGACAGAGGCGCTGCTCATCGCTGGAAATTGCCTTCCTGTATCGGCCAGTCAGCACTTAACATTAAATGACTACATTATAGGCATAATGTTATTATTATTCATAAAGGATGAAAAAAGAAAACCTGCCAGGGATCCGAATTTCGGTGCCTCTGGAACCTGAGGGGTTATTTATCCAGAGATTAATGAACAGAGCCTTGCCACCGAAAGGGAAAAAAGCAGAGAATGAAAAAACCCTGAGACCTGAGTGTATTAATAACATGATTCAGTGTCTTTTCAATCAAGAGCTCCATCAATTTGGAATAAATTTCCAATTCATTTACAAACTCTCTCGGAGCTCTTGGCTTTCAAATCAGCTGGAGAGAAGCACTTGCCCAGGTCTCCTTGCAGTTGGTTTCCAGTGTCGGTTTGGCTTTTATTCTTTCCCCAAGTGATTTTTTTAAACACTTTTACAAAACAGCACCGCTCCGAGAATCCGGCTGCGGGTTTATTAGATTGGATTATAGGGTCTTACTCGATTCCTTCAAATGGAAAAATAAGGGGTTTGGGGTTTTCAAATATGAAAATATGCTTACTGGATTATAATTTGCATTTTGCGACTCTGCTTAATGTAAATGACTCCCGCACGTGCCAGTTCCAGCCTTAACGGGGCTTTGAAGCCATTGACATTTCCCGTTCTGCTGGATTTCCTCAACGAAGCAACAACGTATTCAGCAGCACCCACAGGTGGGGCATTACACCAAAACGGGGCATTTCTGGTCACCCAGCGGGGTACATCACACAGATCAAGAGATGTTCAACCCAGGGATGCTTGCAGGGAGCCTGGGAGAGAGTCTTGGGGGATGACTGGAAGTGAGGACCAGATCCCAAAGGCTTTTCCTGCTCTACCCCTCAGCCCAGATGCTGGCATGGACCTGAATGACCTGGAACCCTTTACAGCATCCTGCTGCGCCCTGCATGGTGGAGCACATCCATAAAGTGGTACCCGTCCTCTAGCACTGAAAATCCCTCCTGTGAGATGGGACCTGCAGATGGTTAGGAAAGGGGAGAACTGAGGCTCCTTGACACACAGGCAGCATTTGGAAGAAATCACAGAATCCCAGAA